CTGGAGTTTGCTCATATGTGCATGGCCCTTGTGTGCAGGTGCAGCTACTGCTCAGCGTACTCTACAAAGACAAGGTAGCAGATGTGGTGTATGTTAAGTGGTTTGATGCTCCAGAAGATGAATGGAACCGTGAACTGAATCTCCGTCCGCTGCGATGGCAGAGGTAATAAAAGTAGTTTACACACAGTCGTAATTTCAGTTGTATACCTCCCTCTCTTGCACTAACACTAACCATTGATTGTCCACACAACCTCACTTCCAGGGTGACTGGAAAACCAGCAGCAGCTTATGGGTGTATCCCATTTGAGACCATTATCGAGAGAGTGTGCATTGTTCGGATCTCCCAAGTTAAAGTCAAACGTACACGTGGTTCCTCCAGCAGAAGCATGGATGATGTGGAAGAGTCCATGGGCAATCCAGTTCCCACAGCACAATTTGTGCTCAACGAGCTCAATGGCGGCCCACCCCATGGCCTTTTGCCAGTCGTGTTGGAGGATATTGCTGAAGAAGTCAGGCAGCAGTCTCAAGAGAGTGAAAAGCGAAGCTTGCGCCCATCAGAAGTGCGGGCACTATTGGACAAGCTTATGGCCATCGAGGAATGGGAGCAATGGGAGTCTGGTTGCGTGTGGTCAAAAGATGATGACACAGATGAAGTTTCATCAGACGAGGCGTAGCAAAGACGTCCTGGATAATAACGACCGGGTAGAGGAGGATTGATCAATTGGGGCTCATGGGAGTAGGAAATGACTGTTTGCGTTGTGCTGATAGTGTCGGAGAATTTATTCTGTTAAGTGTTTTGGTTGTGTTTTGGAGTTGCAGCATTAATAGGCCAGATAACATGTGGATTATTCATTTAGTAAAGCAGACTGAGGGATTGTGGGCTGAGAGCTGAGATTCCTTGTGTGATGTGTGATAGTAACGTATGAAGAGTATGTGAAAATTGTAATCCCCTGAGCTTCTATGCATCCCATGTATTTCTGTACACAAATGACACATGTAAACAACATCCTGGCAAGTATACAGCATAGCCTAAACAAGGTCAGGTATAGGCTGTCATGTAAACATGAAGGCCTATTATGTGATGCCTATAGCAGTCTTGTAATAGGCACTCGTGTACACACGCACCTGTATAGGCACTGTTGTTTACAACATCACATGTAGACACATCTGTATACCAGTCATGTTTACCACATAGCCTAAACAAGGTCAGGTATAGGCTGTCATGTAAAGGCCATTGCATATTACGTGATGCCTATAGCGGTCTTGTAATAGGCACTCATGTACACACGCAGCTGTATAGGCACTGTTGTTTACAACATCACCTGTAGACGCATGCATATACCTGGCAAGTATACACCACAGCCTAAACAAGGTCAGGTATAGGCTGTCATGTAAAGGCCATTGCATATTACGTGATGCCTATAGCGGTCTGTAATAGGCGCTCATGAC